TGGGCTTGTATTATATTTGCCTTCGGGTTTATATGATCCGTTCATCCTATTTTGACTCCTCAAAATTCACGAGTCTATTCTAAATTGAGGTAAATTGTATGGCTTTCCAAATACCGTTTCGATTCCTAACATCACTGAAGAGACATTAATTGTCAAAATCCGGATATGGTGTACAAAAACCTTTGCACCTTTTGTTTGCGGTATATCATCTTTTCCGCAAGTTTATTGTTTTCTGTTTAGTATTAAATTTATAATTAAGATCCATTTATCACATCGGTGATCCGTTTATTTGGCAATCGCCAATGGCAGTCAGCAGGGTTTAAGAACATTTGTAGTTCGACCTGTTAGTCAAATGCGTTTTGTTAAAATACACTTTTCCACTTTTTTGGTCTTTTGGAAAATGTTGTTTGTGCTGTATTTAGACCCCTCTAACAAGAAATTTGTTTTGCATGCACACGTATAAAAATTGCGGTTTTTATCCAACGCAATCATAGGTTTGAACGTTGTTTTCAATTTAGACTGGTTTATATATATATATATATATATATATATATATATATAAGTGCCTATAAATAGCAGCACATGACATACAAATCTATGGGAGTGTGGATTAATCAGTACAGAGATTAATTCAATTACACAAATAAAATTATAGATTGCCTAACAATGTAATTTTAACACACTATTTAGTATGTAAATATAAGAATGTTTAAAATATTTACAAAATGATGAAAATAAACGCAATATTTCGCTAGACTAACTAGCTTTATCAAGCGTGCATCTATCCAGGTGAAATCGGATGTAGATGATAAGAAACTTTTGCAGCTCAATGTATATGTTGCACTTGAATTTAGCTGCCTTGAAAATAATACATAATTTGGATGAAGTTCAAGATTTTTACAAAATTGGTAGTTGAAGTTAGCAACGTCCATTGGCCAATATTACAGGATAAAAAGGACGATGCTGTGTACTAAATTATTCTTTATCTTTCCTGTATCTTTTCTCATCTTTTTCGTTAAGACCATCAGGTTCTAAAGTGTGGAGTTGGTGGATCCAAAAATTTTCTCTTCTCCTTCTCGCCGTGGTGTCCCACTCGGTGTTGACTTCTATGATTTGGAAGGTAACATTATCAAAAGAATGTTTCGTTGAACGAAGATGTCTTGTGAGAGGACAGTTTTTGTTGGTTTTGTACCATGAACGATGGTTATTGAGCCGAATATTAAATTTGTCCATTGTTTCTCCCACAAACAGAATGCCACATGTGTCACATGTAAATATATAAATTGAGTTCTCCGTTTTACAGTTGGAATCCAGCTACTTCAACTGTTACTTTCTTTTACAACCACAAATTACAAACAAATTGTAAATGAAATATCAGATATCATCAACAATAGTAACATTTCACGTGACGATTTACCAATAATTAAACGTCGCCTCGCAGATATTGAAAAAATTGAACTATCCAAACATAAAGAAAAACAAAGGAATAAATTTCAAAGAGATAAAATTCACACTGTCTATTTAAATCAGGATATGAATGATATCAATACAACAAACCATAAGGTCCCTAGAAAAAGAAAATTCAAAAGACGGAAACAAAAACCTGAAAGCATTGTTGTAAATTTGTCATCTAAAGAACTTACACGTGCTGAAGAATCTCTTTTAAGTAAAGGTTTAAACTTCTGTCCTATCCCATCAAATGTAAATAACTTTCAGCTAGACGAGGACTTAGACCAATTCGCTAGACGTTTACGCTTGAAAGATTTTTTCTACAATAGGGGCAAGAAAAACCTTGAAGAAGCTGGATTAACAGATTCAGATACTGACACCAATGAAGAAGTCACGCCCATCCCAAAATTTAAGAAAAAAAGTTCATGGAAACCACCTAAGAGTAAAAATGATAACTTGGAGTCATTCATTAACTACGTGAGGTCTGATATAAAGTCCTGTATAACAAATACAAGAAATTATAATTTATCCAAGTCAGAAAGCATTGCTTTGAAAGCGTTAAAAGATCAAGAGGATATCGTAATAAAACCTGCCGACAAAGGGGGCGCTGTGGTTGTCATGAATAAAACAGATTACATAGCAGAGGGAAATCGCCAACTTTCAAACTCCATTTTTTATAAACAATTAACCACAGATCCAACACTAAATAATATTCGAAGGATCAACACCATCCTTCAAGAGATGTTCGACAAAAAGCATATAGACAATGACACCTTTGATTATCTCCGACCTCTTGAGAACGAAGCAAAGGCCGGAAGATTCTATATGTTGCCTAAAATACATAAAACGGGCAATCCAGGTCGACCAATTGTTTCAGCAAATAGTCATCCAACTGAAAAGATATCAGAATTTTTAGACCATCATCTAAGACCTCATGTGAAAGAACTACCCTCTTACATCCAAGATACGACTGATTATCTAAAGAAAATGGAAAGCCTCAATCCTCTACCAAGCAATACTATACTTGCATCCATGGACGTGTCTTCTTTATATACCAACATTCCACAAGACGAAGGAATAGCAGCGTGTGAAGAGGTATGGAACACTCGTAGTGAAAAAAATCCTCCAACTGAGTGCCTTGTTACACTTCTGAAACTAGTGCTGGGAGAACAACAACTTCTCTTTCAATGAAAAACATTATCTCCAGATAGACGGTACTAGTATGGGCACAAAAATGGCCCCGTCATATGCCAACATATTTATGGGCCAACTTGAAAAACGCCTCTTGGCTAGTGCTCCATACCAGCCCTTATCATGGTTCCGATTCATTGACGATATTGATTTCAAATGGACAGATTCACAAGAACATCTTAATGAATTTCTAGGACACTGTAAATCTTTCCACCATTCAATAAAATTTACATATGAATCATCTATGGAGAAAATAAACTTCCTCGACACTACGAGTTACATCAAGAACGGAACCATTATAACGGACCTTCATACCAAACAAACGGACAAACATCAATTCCTTTCTCCTAAAAGTTGTCATCCTAAACACTGCTCCCGTGGCATCCCATTCAGCCAGGCATTGCGAATCAAGAGAATATGCTCTACTGAAAATACGCAAAATGCTAGACTTGGACAACTACGTAAACATCTAGTTGTTCGAGGATACAATAACAACATCATTGATAGCGCTTTCGAAAGAGCAAACAAAACTAGTCACCAAGAACTTCTAGAGTACAAAGATAAGAATAAAGCAGCTAACAGAACACCCCTTGTACTCACTTACCATCCTGATTTTAAAAATGTGTCTTCCATTGTTCAGAAGCATTGGAAAATTATAGAAAATGATTCAAATCTTAAAAAAGTATTTTCCTCACCACCAGTCATGGCCTTCAGAAGACCTAAAAACATCCGTGACAAATTAGTGACATCTGTATTAGCAAAGCAGCCTACTCCATCTCCCGGTTGCTACAAACAATGTGGTCGAAGGAACTGCTTGTGTTGTAAAGCTGCCAATACAAGCAGTTCTTTCATCAGCTCCGTTACTAAACAAAATTATACCATCTACTCAAATTCCAACTGTAAAACGGAGAACTCAATTTATATATTAACATGTGACACATGTGGCATTCAGTATGTGGGAGAAACAATGGACAAATTTAATATTCTGCTCAATAACCATCGTTCATGGTACAAAACCAACAAAAACTGTCCTCTCACAAGACATCTTCGTTCAACGAAACATTCTTTTGATAATGTTACCTTCCAAATCATAGAAGTCAACACCGAGTGGGACACCACGGCGAGAAGGAGAAGAGTAAATTTTTGGATCCACCAACTCCACATTTTAGAACCTGATGGTCTTAACGAAAAAGATGAGAAAAGATACAGGAAAGATAAAGAATAATTTAGTACACAGCATCGTCCTTTTTATCCTGTAATATTGGCCAATGGACGTTGCTAACTTCAACTACCAATTTTGTAAAAATCTTGAACTTCATCCAAATTATGTATTATTTTCAAGGCAGCTAAATTCAAGTGCAACATATACATTGAGCTGCAAAAGTTTCTTATCATCTACATCCGATTTCACCTGGATAGATGCACGTTTGATAAAGCTAGTTAGTCTAGCGAAATATTGCGTTTATTTTCATCATTTTGTAAATATTTTAAACATTCTTATATTTACATACTAAATAGTGTGTTAAAATTACATTGTTAGGCAATATATATATATATTGTGGAAAGGTAACTATATATCAAAGATACGTTTTTGACTGGCTGTGAGCTGTGCTCAGGGAAGAACGTTCCCTGTAATGGTTATTGACCATATGAAGAGTTTTCCGTCCTTCTCCTCCTCCTCATTTGCAACATTACAGAAGGATTATAAAAGTACAATTCTTTAACTGGTAGACAAGACCGTTGAAATCATAATAGTAACTCATTTGGAACCGAGGACGAACGTTCCGATGCGGTATAGGAAATTTTTGAAACAACGGAAAGTCAGTAATACATTTTATCGATGGCTAGTGTCGCCTTAATTTTGCAATCCAAATAACACCCCTCCAAAGAATCTAGTAATGATAAATACCCGTATCTAAAACCAATGAGAGACATTTTTCAACCAGAACCTATTCTGATGTAAATAGTAAGGTGAAATGGAGTATACATCAATGAAGCAGCACTCCAAACGAAAAAATAACCAAAACATATATAAAGGGCAACAAACAGTATTGAATAATAGACATGCGTCTTTTATATTTAAACACCATTTCAAACCCTTAATCATCTTATAAAATGGTTCCTTATATCTCTAGTGGTCAATTCTAAGTTGTTGTGTGTTTAATTTTTCACTATTTTTGAATCCAGTATTTTTCTACTGAACAAAACCTAACAATATTTTTGGCTTTTGATGGATATCTCGATTGAATTTCTTTAGTGTAAAGGTTTGTGGTGAACACATAAACAGTGTTTGGTTTAACAGAATGGCTTTATATACTATAACATTAAACATGATAATGGTGTTATATTTTAAATTTCAGTTAAATCAGCGCCTGCATTTATGGGAACTTGTGAAGATAGTGGTGTTATGATTGCAAGTGGTGAAATCGATTGTAAATATTTAGAAAATCCTTCCGCCTATAACATCCATAAAAACCCCGAACGCTTCTGTATGCAGTATCAAAAAGAATGCTGTATAACTTGTACCAGGATAAAACAGGTAAGTGTTAAAAATAATGCAAATGAAATCCTTAAATGTGCACTGGTGCTTCTCAAACAGGAGGAATACAGGAGAGTCGGATAAACGACGTACACACCAACAAACAAGTTTATCTAAGCACAAAATCTGAAGCTATCGGCTCGAATGACTAAACGTTTCCGTCTGTTTTATTTTGGCCCTTTTGTAATTTTTCCTCGTGTAAATTTTTATGCATATTGGTTTGCTTCGATCATACATCATGAAGGTTATTCTGGACATAAATGTCACGAGTACTGAGATTGGTATCATATGTTTATTTTATTAATGGATGAATTGTATTTAAACTGAGGTTTCCAAAACCAAAGGCAGAGTTGGTGTTTTGTTTAAACCATTTAGTTGTATTATTCTATAAATTGTACAATTTATTTATCAATAATAGTGACCTAGTAAGTGGTTATTCCAGAAACATCAATAGTGCGCATGGAAAAACGAATCAAACTTTTGCGACACCTACCGAATTAATAAATGAGGGGAGATATCATTAGAAAAGTCAAAACTCATAAGTCTAGAGAAATAAACAACACCAACAACAACATGAAAAGATGAATCATTAATTAGAAAAGCTATTTAAACTAATGAATTTTTCTTGAATTATGTGTGTACAAATCAGGGAAACAGATGACAAATAAATGTACCAGATACCAAATATATAATATCAAGAAGGATCACTTGTAAACATACTGAACAAAAAAATGCACTATGTAAAAATATCGATTCGTTCTCAGCCAAGACATAGCATATTTCATCAACTAGGGCGATAAATTTCAACTCTGTTTATTTATTAGTAAGCTTAATGTGTACATTTTAGTTTACCGAGATTTTTTCTTCATCGAATTTGTTAATGTTTTCAGAATGGTTACTATACAACAAAGAGTACAGCTGTCTCTCACACTTCGACAAAGGCATTAAGTCCACTATCAGGTAATTTTCATTTAGATTGAGATTGCATTAAATTGGTTAATTTGCAATTTCGTACCTATAATGTTGAAAAATATATAATTATTCCTGCAATGATGTTTCATTTGCCATTTAATATAGCATATACCTGTCAGTAGTTTTTAGTATATATATTATATAAATTATACCCCACTCTTAAAGTGGGAGTTATATTGCATACACATTGTCCGTCCACTTGTCTGTTAGTCCAACAATTATTTCCATCGCACATTTATCAGGTACTATGGAACAGAATGGCTTCATATTTAGTCAACAGCTTATCAGTGATGATTTGTAACGTAAAAGCACTTTCCTGATCTGATTATTCTTCCTGATTTACCGAAATTTAAATTACGAGCGAGAGTATGCTAAGCACTGCAATTTCATGTTGTTTTTTTTAAACAGTAGAAAATAAACTATGCGTGCGCGTTCCTACAACACAGGAAGACAGAACACGACCAATGATCAAAATGCGAAAGATATTTAAAAAAAATATATTAGACCAAGCCATATCTCTATGTATAGGCCCAAAAAAGTACAAGATATTAATGGTAATCAGTCCTGGCATTATGTACATGCTTACTAATTTTGAAAACAAATACATGTTGTATTGACTAATATCCAAACCTAAACAATATATACATTAAGTAGAAGGTTGATTATGGTCTAATCCTAAAGATTGATTTCGAACACTGGACAATCTTTCTTAAAATTACGGATACTGTCTCTAAACACTTCTCCTTCCTTTCAATTCCCCAACACCACTTTATATCTTTCTCCATCTTTGAATGCCTTGTTTTTACTTACTTAGAAATATGAAGATATTAAGCTATCCTTATATATTAGCTAACATGGCATAGGGAGGGGGGTTTAGCCATTAATACTGATAAAACACACATAAAAACAATCATGAAATTCATACCGCAAATTGCGAAATAGACTAAATCTTGTTCAACCGCAGACAGACCCAATATGACCAATACATGATCCTCATTCAATTCTCTACGAAATATATCTAAAGCAATACCTTTAGGAAATTGAAAAATGAATTAAAATATATTCTAGTATCCTGATACATAACTGTAAAAGAACATTGGGCTGTGCTAAACATCATGGTAATTAATTATGGACAAAGTTCTCATATTTTGTTTTCAGTACAACCGACAGAGGCGTGCATAGATACCGGAGTATGGATAGATGGCTTAGTTGAATGTAGCTATCTGGAACGACCATCTAGCTATAATATCCATAAAAATCCTGCTGGATTCTGTCATAAATATTTCAACGAATGTTGTGTTACATGTACAAAATTAAAGCAGGTAAGACGTTTTCAATATTTTTTTTGTATAAAAATGTCAATAATTTTCAAAAGAAACTTTTCTACCGATTGGCTTGATTAAAGATATAAATTTTCTGTTAATAAATTATGTCATTGACTCAAAACTGATTGCAACTTCCTTGGACATGTTGACCAAAAACAAGTTTGGTCAATTTGACCCTATAAATCCAAAGCTCCTGTAGATTTTTATATATTCGGCTTTAACGAATTAAAAAGCGGAAAATACCAGAGGGATATTTAAATTCAAAGTCGATAAAAAAAACTGACAACGCCATTGCATAAAACGAAAAACGACCAAAAGACAAACAACAATATACAAAACGCAACATAAAAAACTAAAGACCGAGCAACGCGAACCACCAAAAACCAGGTGTGATCTCAGGTTCAAAGTTTTGGTCTTCAGGCAACTGGTTAATTTTTCCCTGAGTGGATTTGAGCTGTTTTGTTAAGACCTTATTGTAACAGACTTGTAGAATATCTCTGGTAGCAAGGATGGAGACGATTATATGCGGACGGATAAAAACACATCTGCTACCATTTTCTACATTTTAATCAGACAAAGATGACGTCACAAACAAAAATACAAAAAAAATGGTAAAAGGGGAACAACTCTCTCTTACACACAGAAACATACTCTGACTATACACACTGATATATAACATTATATAAAAAACAAGATGTGGTATGATTGCTAATGAGACATCTCTATACAAAAGACCAAATGACACAGAAATTAACAACTATAGGACACCGTACTGCCTTCAACAATGAGCAAAGCCCATACCGCATAGTCAGCTATAAAAGGCCCCGAAATGACATTTCAAACGAAAAAACTAACGGCCTAATTTATATACAAAATAATGAACGAAAAACAAATATGTAACACAGCAACAAACGACAACCACTGAATTACAGGCTCCTGACTTGGGACAGGCACATACAGAATGTGGCTGGGGTTAAACTAGTTTGAAGGTGCCAACCCTCCCCCTAACCTGGGACAGTACTTTTGTTTAAAAACTAAACGAAATTGACTTTTTATTTCTTTTGTACAGCATTATTTCAGTCACACTTCAGTCTTAGTCGAGTACACGGAAATCAGTATCAAACGTCTTTAACTCTCAATGCATGCTGACACATTATATAAAATATATACGCCAATTTTACACTTTGAAAATAGTATAGTTGTTTGTGGTACCCAGCATTTCATCTCTATTCGTTTATTTGTAAATAAACAAATTTTACGCATGAGTTTATCAGGGATGTTTTCTGGATTAATTTGCATATTTTTTTTCCAGAAAGGATACACTGCAGTGGAAAGTGCTTCGATAGTACCAACAGTTGTCTATCATACTTCAGCAAAGGCATCTACTCCACTTTTAGGTAATTTCAAAATGAGATTTAGATGGATTGAAAAAGCATTTTCGAAGCTACAATATAGAAAGATATTTTTTTAACATTGTAGTCTTATCAGTCTGATTTAAATTTCAAATCCTGCGACTACGCTTTGGATACAATGATCTAATAACGCTTCATTCTACTTTCTGTTGAGAAGACCTCTCAAGACCAGTTGGCTGTGTCATTAAAACACACATCTTAAAATGTGTAGGCAGGAAATGCATTAGTTATGTAACCATTATAAGAGCACAAAGTAGAACGAAATGATGTCATAGCCTTGTAAGCAAAGAATGGACCCAGGATCTGTGTTTTAATCAGAATGTTTTTCTATTTGCCATTTGATAAATTCATACCTGCCACTGGTGGTTTAGTGTCTATAAATTGTTTATGAATATAAAAGAAAATAAAACTATACATGCACGTTCCTTCAAATCAAGAAGACAGTTCACGACCAATGACCAAATATTAGAAAGGAACTGCATAAGTAGTTGGTCCAGCCTATAGATATCTTTGTAAAAGCCAAAACGGGATAAGAAATGACTAGTTAATAGTGATAACATCTGGCGTCAAAGCTGATCTTTGCACGTACTCATGGTGCTTGAGAATTTGAACAAAAATACTGACCAATATCCACACGTAAACCATGTATATATTGAATAGAATGTTACTTGCGGTCAAATTTATAGATTTAGCAGGATCAATAAATGATCATGAATATTGTATTTAAAGCTATTCCTCTTTGTAAAACGGCCAAAATATGTCTTAACTGAATACTCATGTGTTTGGAAATTAAAAAATAATAGTCTCCTAATACTTATTTGTAAAATAACACGGCCTGTCTTTAACATCACGGTGATCAATTATAGACAAAGTTTTCTCATTTTGTTTGCAGTACAACCGACAGAGGCGTGCATAGATACCGAAGTATGGATAGGAGACGGCTTAGTTGAATGTAGCTTTCTGGAACAACCATCTAGCTATAATATCCATAAAAATCCTGTTGGATTCTGTCATAAATATTTCAACGAATGTTGTGCTACATGCACAAAATTAAAGCAGGTAAGATTTCTTTAAAACTTTATTCCAAGGGGGTAAGATATGCAATGTAGTCAGTGATATCCTATTGGCATCTTTTATTTAAAAATTCTGTTCATAAATTATGCAATTGTATTAAAACTGATTGCAACTCCCCCATTCAAGTTGACCGTAGACAACTTTAATCTTTTCATTTTGACAAAGCTCATGTATATATTTTTCTAATGTATTTGGCTTTTGAAAGTTTTGGTCTTCATGGCAACAAGTTAATTGTTCCCTACGAGAATTTAAGCTTTATATAGTTTTTTTAACAAGTATAGATCATTTGACTTTTTATTTCTTTTCTACAGCTTTATTTCACGCACACATCAGTCTCAGTCGGAAATCAGTATTAAACGCCTGTAACTCTCAATCCTAATGGAATAGTATCTACATTTTATACACAAATTCTACAGTTTGATGATTAGTGAAGTTATAAGTAGTACTATACGATTTATCTGTAATTATTTGTAAACAATTAAATTTTACGTATGAGTGTACCTAGGATGCTTTCTTCATTTATTTGTAAATGTTTCAGAAGGGGTATACTACAGTGGGAAGTGCTTCGATAGTACCAACTGTTGTCTCTCATACTTCAGCAAAGGCATCAACTCCACTTTCAGGTAATTTTCAAATAGATTTAGATCTATATGAATTGAATTAGCAATTTCGTAGCTGCGATTAAGAAGATAAATATTCCATCGATGTGGTTTTATCAGTCTCGTTTAAATTTATTTTAACGACCTATCATGATCATCTGGCTTTGACGTAGTGATAAAAACCTTCAACCGTGCGTTGGCAGGAAAGTCATTGGATCATGTATACCAAAGCAGAGTGTAGAACTGAAAGGTGTCAGATCCTTATAAGCAACGCCTGGACTTAGCAGTTTTGTTTTTTTTATGTAATCTTATTTTTCATTTAATGCAGCAAATACCTGTCAGTGGTGGTTTAGTATCTATAAACTATTGATGAATATAATAGAAATAAAAATATAAACGTGTGCGATCCTGCAACTGAAGAAAACAGACCACCACCAATGACAAAATGGACGAAAAAAACTTAATAAAATAGTAGGTCAAGCCGGATATCTATGTATAGGTCAAAATGGACAAGAAATGACTAGTAATCATTCCGGCCAACTGGTGTCAAAACAGACACATGCACAAGCTTAAGAATCTTGTAAATAAATTCTAACAAATATCCACACTTTAACCATATAAACGTTAAGCAGAAGGTTACTTCCGGTCAAATCCCAAAGGTCGCCTTCAACGACGAAGAGATGCTTATTCTGTCTATGTTAAAAAAATTGAAAACAACACGTTATAAATTGCATGCGTTCGAGGCGCTTTTCTGGATTTACCTTCATCAGGAACGCTCAAAGCCAAATATTTGAAAGCCAAGGATGTATAAGCACCGAAAACGTTGAAGAGCTATTAACTTATGCCTCCTTTTATTTCCCCATCACCACTTCCTATTTGTGCATCTTTGAATGCCTGATTTTTATTACTAAGAAATGTAAAGATGTGAAGTTTAAATGTCCGCATTCGAGACTTATATCCCTACTTATCGCTATTTTGCGTATTTTTCCTTTGATCATTTTTGGTGATAATTTTTCATATCATGCTACTCGCTTGAAAATTATCGTCACAAACTAAGAGCGCACGTGCTGTTGTCAATGTAAAAATTAACGACGCCATCATGGTCATAGGCAAAAAAGCGATAAACAGATTATCAATGGTCTTTCAAACTCGAGGATGTTTCTCAGCCACATTTCATATCAGGGCTGTCGCCCTTCGATGAGATTGTAGCTGAGAAACACCCTCTCGTTTGAAAAAACCATCGATAATCTATAATTATTGGCTCCAGTGAAAGTGATTTGCTCACTGGACAACCTGTCGGTACACATACTAAGAAATGTAAAGATGTGAAGTTTAAATGTCCGCATTCAAGACTTATATCCCTACTTATCGCTATTTTGCGTATTTTTCCTTTGATCATTTTTTGTGATAATTTTTCATATCATGCTACTCGCTTGAAAATTATCGTCACAAACTAAGAGCGCACGTGCTGTTGTCAATGTAAAAATTAACGACGCCATCATGGTCATAGGCTAAAAAGCGATAAACAGATTATCAATGGTCTTTCAAACTCGAGGATGTTTCTCAGCCACATTTCATCTCAGGGCTGTCGCCCTTCGATGAGATTGTAGCTGAGAAACACCCTCTCGTTTGAAAAAAAAAAATGATAATCTATAATTATTGGCTCCAGTGAAAGTGATTTGCTCACTGGACAACCTGTCGGTACACATACTGCAAAGTCATATCTACGGATAATTTTGATCAAATTTGATGCGAACATTTGTATGAAGTCAGATGAGTTTATAATTATTTCACATGTTGTCTATTATAACCATTCAACAATAAGGATAAAAGACAAGTGTGACACAAGACGTTTATTTTATGTGCTGCCGAGTAAGCACTACAAATGCAGCTAAACCTTTTTAGAACTCAATTAGAACAAATTTGCAGTGTTCCCGTATCTTCCTTACATGGCTTGTGTGGGGCATTTACCCATTTATACTGATAAACAAACTCATATTAAACTTATATGTGTCATGAAATTCATACCACGAATTGCAAAATATGCTAAAATTTGGTCAACCACAGATAGACCCAACATGATCAATACATGATCCTCATTTAGTTCTCTTCCAAATATATTTTGAATAAGCAGCAAAATTATGCCTTAACTGAAGAATTCTGTTTTGGGAAATTTTAAAGTAAAAGTCTCCTAATACTAACTTGTAAAAGAACGCTGGCCTGTCTTTAACATCACGGTGATTAATTATAGGCAAATTTTTCTCATTTCATTTTCAGTGCGACTGACAGAGGCGTGCAAAGATACAGGAGTATGGATAGGAGACGGCTTAGTTAAATGTAACTATCTGAAACGACAATCTAGCTATAATATCCACAAAAATCCTGCTGGATTTTGTCAAAAATATTTCAACAAATGTTGTGCTACATGTTCAAAATTAAAGCAGGTAAGACATATTTAATACTAGTACGTTGTGTGTTTAAAACTGTCCATAATATACAAAAGAACTGTAGTCTCCGGGAGTAACTCATGCAAGACAGCAACTGATACCTGTATTTTATTGCCGCGTCTTTTATTGAAAAAAAAGTCTGTTCGTAAATTTTGAAGTCGTATTAAAACTGATTGCAATTCCCTCGTACAAGTTGTCTGTAGACGGCTTTGGTATTTTCATTGTGACCCCTTAATTCCAATTATATTGATTTTTATGTATTTAGCTTCCGGATTATTTTGCCTCGAATGCAACTGGTGAATTTGTATCGAGGAAGATTTCAACTGTTCTTTTAAACTTTTCCAATTTTTGTAATCCATTTATCCAAAATTAAAGCAGGTAAGACATATTTAATACTAGTACGTTGTGTGTTTAAAACTGTCCATAATATACAAAAGAACTGTAGTCTCCGGGAGTAACTCATGCAAGACAGCAACTGGTACCTGTATTTTATTGCCGCATCTTTTATTGAAAAAAAAGTCTGTTCGTAAATTTTGAAGTCGTATTAAAACTGATTGCAATTCCCTCGTACAAGTTGTCTGTAGACGGCTTTGGTATTTTCATTGTGACCCCTTAATTCCAATTATATTGATTTTTAGGTATTTAGCTTCCGGATTATTTTTCCTCGAATGCAACTGGTGAATTTGTATCGAGGAAGATTTCAACTGTTCTTTTAAACTTTTCCAGTTTTTGTAATCCATTTAGAAATGTTGATTCGTAATGTGTCTTTCTCAAGCCATTTCCTGATAGAGGTTATTTCAGAAATACTTTATTCTTAGGAATCAGTATCAAGATTCTATAATATTTTGTATGCAGTTGCATTATCATTGGCACATCTTATTTTCATGGAAATTGTTTGGTCCGACCCTCGATCGTGATCTAGATATAGGAAGATGTGGCATGAGTGTCAATGAGACAACTCTCCATCCAAGTTACAATTTATAAAAGTAAACCATTATAGGTCAAGGTACGGCCTTCAACACGGATCATTGGCTCACACCGAACAGCAAGCTATAAAGGGCCCCAAAAAATTACTAGTGTAAAACCATTCAAACGGAAAAACCAACGGTCTAATCTATATAAAAACGAGAAACGAGAAACACGTATGAACTACATAAACAGACGACAACTACTGTAATCAGATTCCTGACTTAGGACAGGTGCAAACATTTGCAGCGGGATTAAACGTTTTAATGGTACCCAACCTTCTCCCTTTTCTGAAACAATAGTATAACATCACAACATAGAAAAAACACACTATAAAATATCAATTGGAAGGCTTAACTCAATCAAAAAACGTAAATTAACACACAATGATCGAATAAATTTGACCTGTGACACCTGAATGCAAATACACAGTTAATAAAAAATTACAAGGGATAAATAATTAAAGTCAAAAGTAAATAAACAGGTTTTAACAAAGATAAAGTATGATATCACTGTGAAATTTCAAACAATTTTTAGAAAATCATCACTTTTGAAGAAATCTGCGTCATATTATACACAGGTAAATGAAAATAATTTTGTTGTTAAGTATACTTCTTCTTCTGTGAGTATAAAATCTTCCGTTTAGGAATACCAAGAAATTTCTTTAATATCAATAAAACTAATCGAACACTTGGAACATATGGGGTGAATACTTTAAAAATTCTGCTGAGTTTATTTTAAGTTTGTGAATAGGTCATATTAAGGGAAACCACTAGTTGTAGGTCAATGATATTTGGTATGCAGTTGTGATAGAATTGGTACATTTCATTTCCATAGAGATTGCCTAACGACGGTAAATGCAAAAAAAAAAAAACGTTTCGGAGGCAATAGAATTATAAAGTGTAATTTTCATGTACAAACCATCGGTACATGCAAATTCTTAAACCCCTATTTATGGCCGAAAGTAAAATTTGAAGGGAAAACATATATCAATAAAAAGGATAGACATACCATTATATCTAGTTACAACACGGGAATTGTTAAACAAAATATTGCAAAAGTAACACAGAGAACTAAATCAAGATGAACTTAAACCCTGTAAGAAACAAAGAACTCGGTTGCCCCGGAAGTGTAAGCAATACTTTCAGTGCCTTTGGTGACACCAGTCATATTGATTATGGCTTTAACAAAAAATTTTTGTAATAAGTGATGTCAAAACTAGGAAAGGAGGACTGGATTGTAAGTGGGACAAATGGATTACAATTCATCTTTGACACAGATATTTCGATATTTCATTAAGGAAATCAAAATTGTTTAGGTGCTCATTTAGGCTACTAAAGAAACACTCTAATGAAAAGGAATTCATTTTTGAATGGCTTTTCTTTACGAAACAGCAACTCTATACTCGTTATGATTTCAGCTTTCGAATTGTGAACTTTCCATTTCTGTGTAGCAACATTCCAGCAGCGCCTGCATACAGAGTATATATCTTTTGGAAAATGTTGTTTGTGCTGTATTTAGACCCCTCTACCAAGAAATTTGTTTTGCATGCACACGTATAAAAATTGCGGTTTTTATCCAACGCAAATATAGGTTTGAACGTTGTTTTCAATTTAGACTTGTCCACCAGTTGATACGATATTCCAGGGCTTGTATTTCCTATCATGATTTTTTTGATAGAGGGTTGCTTCTCACAACGAAGCTATTAAACCAAGATTCCAAGTGGTGAAGTTGAACTTCGTAAACTTTACGGACGCCATCACGAGTTGGTTGACCGTTATGGAAAGTCCGTTTCACAGATGATAGCGGATATGTTCCAAATGTAGTATCTACAATCCCGCCCTTTTCTCCGAATGTGATCTACCGATTTAGACTTATTACCGGGTTTGTACTAATATGAGCAACACGACGGGTGCCACATGTGGAGCAGGATATGATTACCCTTCCGGTGCACCTGAGATCACCCCCAGTTTTTGGTGGGGTGTCTGTTGCTCAGTCTTTAGTTTTCTATGTTGTGTTTTGTGTACTATTGTTTTTCTGTTGGTCTTTTTCTTTTTTAGCCATGGCGTTGTCAGTTTATTTTCGACTTGTGAGTTTGAATGTCCCTTTGGTATCTTTCGCCTCTTTTTTGTCGTAGCAATCATAATAGGAAACGCAAAACATGGAATATCATATCAACCAGAAGATAAATTCTCTATTCAGGTTTCTTGAATGTGACTATATGAAAATAAAACTCCACAAAAGGGGAAATGAAAATCATCAGTTTTGTCTTTGAGTTTAGTTCTCAACCAATTACTGGATGTGAGTCGAGAAATGAAGCAGACCTTTTTTGAAAGATATTTCCTGGTTATTATACTAGCTGTGTATGCAGATAATCATGCCTTCTTTTCATTTTCCGTGAGAAGCCCCTTCAAAAAGTCTTCACCATACGAAAAATTAGATTGAAAAACACATTTAATGGATTCTTATTACTGAAATAGTTAATGCTGTTACACTTATATAGATATAATTAAAATTGACTTTAATTTGTTTTTCAGAATGGATTTATGACCCTTAAATACGCTACTGAAAATACAACGGAGAGTACATCGACAACAGAAAAACCAAAGTCATTAAAAACGACAGCTTATGAACACTTGAAACTACCAAACTTTGTTATAATGATCATAAATTTTGCACTCAAGGTTATCTCAGGTTAATATATAAAAGTAAATAATAAGGCTCTGATTTAAAATTGAAAAGTAATGTGGATGTATTCAATAGCAAATTATAAGCTATTGGTTTTGCTCATTGTTGAAGTCCATATAGTGCCGTATAGTTGTTCACATTTTCGTCATTTGGTCTCTGATGAATAGTTGTGTCATTGGCTACCATACCGCATCTCATTATCTTTATATAAAACGGGATAGTACATTGACAACAGAGAAACCAGTCGTCTAAAATGTCTGCTAAACACATAAAGAACTACCAAATCTTATCATAATATGCTCAATAATGATATATTGAAGACGTTTTAGGGTCAGAAAAAATACTAAGTTATAACATTTCCATACTCGTAGCATACATAGTTAATAAGCTTGAGACAAACAGAAACTATTCGTTAGTACAACACTAACGATTAGATTGTTTAAGATCAAAGATACATGTTTTTATGAAGTAAGTATGATATAGTATTGATAATGTAGAATTATCATAGCCACACCCAACTGACGCTTGAAATTGATAAAGTGTTGTTTTCATTTTTTACAGCACTGGGTTATTACCGCTGCTGGTTGACTATCAGCACCTAAGGGTATCATCAGATCAGTAGTCGGTACTCGGTACTAGCAGGATTTATAACGAACCTTTCTTTTATTGTCCGTTTATGAATTTAGAAATTATTATGAAGTAAGGTTTCAAATCCCTCAGTAAAAATTGACATCTTCAACTGTTCACACTCTTATTCATGCTTTGGTTTCAAGTATTCGACTTTGATCGCTCCTGGTGAAGATAAATCCAAAAAAACGTTTCGGACGCATGATATTTATAGTGTTATTTTCATTTTTTGTTGGTTTCTAATGAAAATTAATCATTATTTTCAACATAAATGAAACTGAACGTATAAAACCGTACATTTCGCTTGCCATCGGACATCCGTTTGCTTTAACAGTTGTAAATTAAATGTGTACAATCACATATATTAAGAAAACCAAACGAAAACCAATTAAACTAATATGTAAAGATTTTCGGGTTTTCTACACACAAAATTTCAGCAGCGAGCCACAATGTGAAGCTTTGTGTCGAGCGGTTGATATTTTACGATATCTATACGAAGAAAACCCGATTATCTGTTTATCGTTCTATTACTGGTCTTTTCCCCCTCCCTTAGACAGTTTTACCCTTGACGAAAGCAAGCTTGTTAACGTCTCCTCGCACATTGTCACGTAATATTAGCATTACACATTTTTAATTAGCATCTTTTAGGTGCAATGAATCAAGTGAACGCATTTGTACAAAACCTATTGTAGATAGCTAAATATTGACAGAATCTGTATGAATATCTTGTATTTATAATAACAGAGTTTAGTGGGTACTTAAACTATTTCTTGCCCATCAAATCCCATATATTCTGTCGTGGCTGTATTGATACCTACCTCACTAAATCGCACATCGGAGGAACAGTTGTTATAAGGGCTTAGGTATGGGGAAGGACTATACAATAAACCTAAAAATATTTTGTCTTTTTCGACTTGTGGGAGTGTGTGTAATTGCTTGTGTGTGTAACTGCTATTGCAGTCAAAATGACCTTTATTAACAGATAATGTTAACATTGTAAGATACAACAACATGTAATAAGGTGGAATGGGTGAAATAATTAATTACCAAATATTGCATAAAAACTTATTGATATGTACATATTTAAGTTTTCGTTCTTCTTGTAACATACTTTTTTATAGTTTTGATGCTCTTTGTTGTTTCTTGTTCCCTAGACATACTTAACTTTCGTCTCAATAGACTTTTTCAGTTAGAAAGCTTTCGTCATTCATTTAGGAGGCTGTGGACAGTGAACCATAAAACCTCACTATTTTTATGGATAGTGATGAGTTTGACAGTTGATTCCTAATTGTTCTGTTTTAGTCTTTCGATTTTTTTTAATTTTATGTGGTATTCTTAAACTCCATTGGGCTGCAAAAAATAAATATTGTCTAACATGAGTCTAAAGAATTCCATCAATACGAATTCTCTAAAATGACAATACAAAAAACATTGTAATGTAACAAAAGGCAACCACTAAGTAGGTTACTAACCTGCAACAAGAACATAAAACAATTGGTGGTATTAAAATATTTTTTTCAAGATCTAAATCCTTTTTTATATCAATCAGTGGATTAACAAGAGATGCATAAAAGTACATACAATAAAAACCAGTTCAGGATAAACTCCTTACTCTGAAATCTAACAGGAAACAAAATATACAACTAACACACAAAACAATAAAACAATCATTATTGTAAAACAACATCATATTTCCCACAGAACGTAAACAGTTAGCGTGCAATATTCTATCACTAGTGCAAATATAGCTTCAAATTATCGATGTCATCAGTGACAAAAATCTGTTTTTAACTGTTTACCAAGCTTTGCAATTAAATAAATTAAGGTCATACAACATATTTGTCATATTGGTAAGCCATGTTTAGGAACATTTGAAGATATGATAGAATTTAATTGTCGATGGAACCTTTAAAGTCGTTTATTTCAGTTTTTGTAATAACGCCCCCACAACCTTGACAAACTTAGAGATTGTAGTTATATCTCCCTTTTTACGATACGTTGTCTGGCATAAACTTGACTAAATAGAATAGAATTCTAAAGTTCTGTTTTAAGTTTATGGATTTAGGATCCCGTTATTTAGCTTTTTGGCTTACACATTTTGTTGAACAGTAATTTTTGACAATGAATAAGATTTAGATATAACATGGCCGGCCGGATGATATATTAATGGGTACTTGCACATATGCAGTTAGGAGGTTTAGACGTGTAGTCGTCATATACTGAGATCCTACAACACATGAACATTTTATTTGCAGTGGTGTGATATCGTTATATAAGACTGGAACAGACTAGTCGTTTCATTAGTGAAGTATTTTACATTTTTTTATGATGGAGGATATTGCTTATACACGTGACATCTAGGGCTGGTTAGTAATGACAAGTTTCAGCACTTTCTGTATGTTCTTGTCATGTTTGCCAATATCAAAAGGTCTAAAAAATCTGTGATCGACACGATTTGTTTCCTTATCGTGATACGCGTGCCTGAGTCTGATTTGCATGGCGAGTTCTGCATTGATAGAAGGAGACACTTATCGTTTGGACGCAGTCGGTATAGTCCCGTTTGGAATTTATGGTATTATCTCGTGTTTCTTTTTCGTGGTTAAAATTTTCCAAATACATAGATTTACTAGTTTAGAACACTGGTGAACTATTGTTGTCGATTATTTACCATTCACACCATCGTAACTCCCGGTAAAGTAAGCCGGATTTCCTTAATTAAATCAAGGATTTGTATAGTAAGACTATACAAATCCTTGGTTAAATTAAAAACCAATTGTTCAGAGAACAATTGAAGGTCTTTCCACAGCAATTTTCAAATTTATTGAAAAGAAGCTAGTTCTTGTTTACTCAAAGTCAAAATTGGCATCTCATCAGTTTCTTCATACTGATGCGATAAATAAGTGGTTTCTATATACGTCTGAGTGAAATAAGGGAGATAATCAGCTACTTCCGGTGAAGTAAATATCACTTCCGGTCTCATATGATAGTTTCTTTCACACTGATTATAAAAATATAGTTTCTATATACTTTTGCCTGTCAACCAGGAGATAATTGGCCTCCGGTTTATCGAAAGTCATTTCTAGTCTTTAGTGATAAGTTAATGTATTAAAATTACAAAATATATGGATTCCGAGTACTTTTCCATGAAGAAAGTGCAAAAATGGATACTTCCGGTTTTCTGAAGGTCACTTCTGGTTGTCATTTTTCAAGGTCATATGTCACCCAACCTTTTGTAAAAGGTCATATGGCTTTATAATGAACCAAGTTGAAGTAATAATCAATTAACCTTATAATTAGACATTTCAGGTGCACTAACTCCTATAAGATGCCATTAGATTGTTTCAAACCAAATGTAACATATCTTCATTACAATAAAGCAAACATTTTGCACTTGTTCTTTCATATATATCTTTAAAAGAGTTGGAGAAAATGCAAAAACAAGGAAAAGTCAAAATTGAGAACTTGACCTTGACCTTTGACCTTGACCTCATTTTCTAAGTTAGGACCTAGGGACCTCAAATAAAAAGATTCCATGGTTATACGGTTAACGGTTTATGAGTAAAAAAAAACATACCGACAAATTTAGTTGATAAAGGTAGATAACTCCTATAAAATTTCATCGAATCGCTTCGATCCAAATTAGCCAAAAATTTCTGAGGATGTAATGAACAATTTAGAAAACGAATTTTGTCGATATCTTTTTTTGTTACGAAGGAGATGCACACACTTGATAAACAGTGAATAGGGAGATAACTCTTACAAAGAAAATTGTTCCGCTTAGAATGTGTGAAAATAAAAAGCGCATAAACTGTATGATACTATATAAGAAATATCTTAGCGACATATTGCGAAACAAAATTTTTACGCGAGAACAAAATTCGGCGGAAGAAAAAAATAATAATCAGAACAAATACAATAGGTCTTTCCACAGAAAAGTGGAAAGACCTAATTATAAGTGATTTTGAGGCATTGCAGTATTTTAGGTTTATATTTTTTCAAAATAATATAGTACTGTTAGGAGTCATGAAAATCTAAAGCATCTTGTAGCGACATTGTTTTAAATAATCGCGTGCGAAAATATCCAAGTTGATTGCCGTATCCGGAGATGATGCGCCACCTGCTTTTCCAGACGGCACCGTATCCTTAATTCAGCGGTTATCCCATATTCAGAAATATTAAGTCCATGTTTTGTTATTGGAAACTACAGAATTAGATATAATAAAAAAAAACAAGTAAAGTAAGTGAATCAATTCTTGATGAATGCCGAAACTACACAGGATATGGAAATAAGAAAATGTGGAATGTTTGCCAATGCAACACTATCCAACAGAGAAAAAATGACGTTAATGTTTGAAGGATGACTGTGCACATGACCATAATAATCAATTTTTGAAGTAATACTGAAAGATTATATATTGTAATGAAAGTGTACGATAAAAAAATAAAAAAACTGTTCTTTTTTTTTTATAAGAACCGAGAATAAAGGCGCATGGAAAATCTTCGTTTTAAGCGATGAGTGTGTTGTTGTAAATTGAAAAATTCATATCTACTGTTTAGCTTCGTTGATTTAAGCAGAAATTCAACTTTAGCGGAAATTCCACTTGTGATTTCTTTCTTTTACTCAAATTGAAAACAAAACAAAGAAAACTGTTCAAATGATGGGCATTCATACGCAATATGTTTATCAATCATATTATAACACAATTAAAGGTTAATGCTAGTATCATGACACATTCGTTATCATGATTATCTCTCTAAATTTTGTTAATACTGTACGAAACCTTTTCATTTTTTTTCATATAATTCTGTCTCCAATGGTATCTCATATATTACTTTCAATATCACGACTCGAATGACCATAGGATACACTGCCTTCATGTCCGTTCGTTTGTCTCTAGCGCTTATGGTTTCGACCAGCTTGTCATATTCTAAGAAATTATTATTATTCCATATAGTTACTTGCGGTCGTTAGTTTAATCATGGAAGTAAAATGAAAGTCAATACTTCCATGGTTTTGTCGTTTGAATTGCATGATTTACATTTGTCATTTCGGGGCCTTTTATAGCTTATTATGCGTAATGGGTTTTGCTCACTGTTGAAGGCCGAATGGTAACCTTTAGTTGTTAACTTCAACGCCATTTGCGATAGTGGAGAGTTGTCTCATTGGTAATCATACAACATCTTCTTGTTTTTATATAGATTTGATCGACTTATTCATAATCTAAACAAAGTCCGAGTATGGTCATTTCATTTATCGAGGACTTAGACCGTTGACATACACTTGTATTGAGTTGCATAGTATGAAAGTCCTCTGATCGAGAACACGACAACACCCAATTATACGTTCGCTGAGTGTAATCTATAAAAAATACTATAAATGTTGTAACATCCATCTTTTCACTCATTCATTTAAGTATTCGCAAAAAGTAAAGGTGTTTAGCAAATCTATTCATCAAAGAAAAGTAAACAAAATATATATGACTTAATAGAAAACTACTGACCTTTCAAAACTTTTCATAACAGTATATTTGAAAATGTATGATGAAAAAGAGGAGCAAAGGGATATTAACGGCTAACTTTTGGCAATAACAGTACAAGAAAGTAAAACTACATTTTTTGTCATTTTAATAAAAACTGCAGATGACAACATATTGTCACAGAATCCCCTGTCCAGTTTTGTGTAGGATACAATTTCGTATACGATGTGTTACTATCAGATTTCTATATATATATTTGAATATAAACACCTGTTCACCCAATGAGATTTCTGGTGTACACCATATCAAATTTCTGGTGACGTAAATTTGTCTCCCTTCCATTTTCGATCTTCGATGCTTGCAATTTCCTCCGCACGGAGATTTTACAATCGTAACTACTCGGCCATTCTCGCTACGACAATAACTCTTATTGTAGGCATAGTGAAAATGGCCGAGTAGTTACGATTCGGAGCTGTCTTAAAACTGATGTACAATGTATCAAACTAATGAAATGAAATATTGAATAATTGTTGTTTAAACACCCAAAGTGAAACATACAACATCTATGTTGTGATGTTATACTATTGTTTCAGAAAAAGGGAGAAGGTTTGGTACCATTAAAACGTTTAATCCCGCTGCAAATGTTTG